AGAAACTTATTTGTTTTCAACAGAAGGTGTTTTACTCCAGACTACAATGTTCCTTTTTCTGCTCACCAATGTTCAGAACTGTCTTAGGATTTTCAGCTCTGGAGAGCAATTCATTCAGCCCATTCTGCTGTGAGAGTTTTTAAGGCATTCAGTGCAGCCTTGCCATTTTGCTGATATTTCAACAGCACTGATGCTATTTGTCTCTAAGTTGTAGACAGGGCAATACTGGGATCAGTAGATAGGAAGTTCAGCAGAACAGGAGCATCCTATTTTTTTTAAAAAAAGACAATAATATGAAATACTTAGGGCTGGCCAAATAGCTCAGCAGATTAAAGCGCCTGCTTAGGCAGATGCAGTGGCCAGTCCCACCCCCAGGGTGTGCTGAGTTGGTGATTGAGACTGGGCGTGGTGCCAAACGCCTGTAATGGCAGAGCTTGGGAGGTTAAAAACAGGAGGGTCACTACGAGTCTGATCTACTACCCTGCACTAAAAAATACAAAAAAAAGAAAAAGAAAAAAGAAAAAAAAAAAGCAATTCTTTTTACTTAAGGTAATCTACAAATATGCTTTTAGGTTACTTATAGTATTAGACATTTAATTTTAACTAATTCTAATCTTCTATATTTAGTTATAAGAAAAAATATTCCTTTCATTCATGTTCTCACCATTGTGTTTTACCTGTGGGCATTCTATACCCTTGTCAAACTGGAAAAAATGTGAGACGTTTATTTCATATGTGGTTTATGTGTATGAACACAGTAGAGCCATGGACATACAAAACGAGATCCCCTTGAGGCACTGGCAGCCTTGCTGTCTGCCCAAACCTGCTCTGGCTGAACTCCAGCAGGCTGCAGCTCCAGGCGCACAGCGGACTCAGCAGAGAGAAAGCCCGCTGCCTCCTAGTGCTCCCAGAGCGCAGAGCAGGGCTGTGGGCTAAAGAAACTCCCGTGCCCTGCTGCTGCTAAGAAGGATCTCTGTGAGATGGAAACAAGGTCTAGAGGGGCCAGGTGGCTTTGTTACCCAACTTTAATGCTTCCTTCAACGATTTCAATGTTAGGCATTGGTTGGAAAGCATTCCAGTTTAAAACTTACCCCCGATCTTTCATACATTCCTCAAATAAAATTTTCACTTAAAACAGCACAGATTCATGACTCAAAAATGATGAAAATATGGACCATCGATGATTATTCTCCCCTTTTCTGCCACAAGCACTCTCTGACCCTTCAGTGGACACAGGAACGAGAAGTTGCGGCGATGGAAGCAGCAGCGAAAGGCACCTCCTTCCGCAGAGGTCATTCTCCACGGATAACTCCCCGAAGGACTTCCGGTGAATTGATTCACCGAGAACTAAGTCAGACTCCAGAGCTGGGGCAGCATGCGCCAGCCCAAATGATGTCTTTATTACTGCTCATCAAAATTCGTAAAATCTTTAAATCACATTAAGATACAAAAGGAGTAACTATTTGATCAATGTTAATCTCACACGGCCTGACTTTGAAAGTGAAAAGCCAATTATAAATATCACCGTACTTTTGCAGTAGATATGTAATAATGGGAATGTGAAGTTTAGATAGATTTTATTTCTACCATTTCAACTTCCAAGTAATAGCATTGCTTACCAAATAGCACAGGTTTACTCTAATAGCAAACAAAGAATTAGACAGAGGGTGTCCAAGTATTATTGCATATTGTTGTAGCTTCTTTTCTTTCTGGGGAGTTTAATGAAGTAGAGGAAGTGTTTTAAAAGAAAACAATAAAACATTGCCTTGGACAGCTGGGAACCCACACTGAAGACTCTAAAATTTTGGCCACTGGGGTTGCTATCAAGTGTAGATGGCCTTCTCTCAGAAGAGCATTAGTTCAGCTTATTCTGAAGAAAGGACTAGATGGGGAGGTTTTTTTTTTTTTTTTTCTTAACTAACATCAATAACCATCAGAGATAACCACAGTTGTGCAGTCATCTCTAAAATTAAAACAAGTATGCAATGTACACACACAACACACACAATATAGTGATATTGTTGCTGGATTTAGGATTTAAAGAATCATACAGTTTCTTTGATGGGCCTCACAGAGGCTGCTGTTTAAACATCTGCAATCCTTTTGTTTCTTCTCAGGGTGTTGGTCTCACATGAGGGGTGCACACTCTTATTTTACACTGTCCAAAACCTTAAGGAGAGGACTTGTGCCTCCAAGTCTTCCAACTTAGCTGCTTGACTCTGCTTCCCTAAATTTCTCCTCAGCGCACAGACATACCAGAAAGAATGCAAAAGACACAATGCTACCACAGCTGAAAAACATTTGCTATTTTTCTGAATTTGGCAGATCTTATAATTACTCAAAATCATTGCTATGTCATCCATTAAAAGAATAAATATTTTCATAGGACTTTCTATGGGTCTGATCAGATTCTTAGTACTTTATATAGACTAATGCACAGAAACTACATAACAGTCTTATAGATAGGGCTGTAATATCCCCAATGTTATGGGCAAAAGAAAGGAGGGATGCTCAGGCTAAGGACTTGCCCAGGATTACAGACTAAGGGCAGCAGTGTTGGGTAGAGAGAAGAGAACCCCAAAGCAAGTCCCCTCCTCTAGGGTAGACCAGTGCAGATGTAGGAAAGAGCACTGGGCAATTCCTTCATGAAATATTTAAATTACTCCACTTATCTGAAAACTTGTCTACTTAGAACAACTACAGGAAAGGAACTTCAGCTGGTGAGTAACAGAAAATGACATCCAGATCTTCATTCTAGTTGAAACCAATACATCAGCACCCCATAAATATGGTGTGCTATCAGAACACCATAATGGATATTTAAAGAACTCAACAATTTCAAATTTTATTCTATTTTTTTCACTTGATTTAAACTACTGCAGAAAATGTTATGCTAATTAGATGACTGTTACAAGGGTTTAAATTTAACCCTAATCTTTCTAAAAGATTGCACATCATCAGCCCCTTTTGATAATTCCTCAACCAATCCCACAGTCACTTACTGACATACTCCTAATGCTGACGCTGCTCACCCATTTCCAATGCGGATCAAACGTCCCATGGATTTGCCCTTGTTATCCTTAGGCATTAGGATGGCTGTTACCCATATTTAGGTGAAGAGATAAACTTATAAATACTTGGAAAGTTATACAAGTTAATTATAATAATGTAAATTATATAATACTGGGAAAATAAAAAGTGAATTATGAATATACTTTAATAATATTATAAGAATAGAATTTAAACAAAATGATACCATATGAAAAAAAAAAAACACCTCCATTTCATACTTGAACAGACTTACTGACGTTTCTTAAAAAGAATTTGGATGCTCCCAAAGTACCACCTATCTTCTTATTTAGAGATAAAATCTGATACATCTCTATGTCCCCTGCAGAAAGAGTATCATCTTAAATATTATAGTCAACAATCATTTCATTTGTTACTCTTCAAAGCAGTAAAGTTTATATCTTATTTTCTACTTGTGAACTTTTTTACTTTAGATGCTTTATTAAATTATTTGTTATTTACCCAGAAACAGTAGTAGAGTTGCAGAACAGTATATTGATTATTCTGTTGGTAGGCAGTATATTCTCCTTTTGTAGACATTTTCTTACTGCCATAAAATATGTATTAGAACATATAGAAAACTATATAATTAAAAGTATATAAATATGTAGAACAAGCTAAATATTTTAGAGTGTGTAGGATAATGATAACAATGAAAAATGAAACCTTTTCTTGTAAAATCTTAATTTTCTTAGTAGGTTTTGTCCCCCCCCCTTGGAATTTTATGCACTTGTATGAAGAGATATGTGGACAACACTGCTTTTATTCCATGTTTTAGGTATTCTACCCTTCTTTGGGTAACCAAGAAAACAGATCATACACATGTTGATACCAGAAGAAAAAGTCCCAAGCAGTGGCCATAGGGAACATGGAGTAGGATATTACAGAGGGGAGAGGGTGAACCTCATAGGTTTGATAACTGTGGTGAGCCTGTGAGACCAGGGCAGGGCAGGACAATAAGATGTCATGCGACTAGACCCACATAAACAGGAAGTACATCAAACCTCAGGGACATTCATTTCCAAGCTGTTAGTTTACAGAGGAAGGAGGCTTACCCGGGCCTTCTGCTCCATTTCTAGCATTAATCTTTCATGTTGCTCAGCTATAGCCAGTGTCGCAGAATGGACCTTCTGATAGATCATTTCTCCTTCCCTTGTTTGAAAAGTGAATAGTCCTTCTCCTGTGTCACACATTCTGTGAGAATAGAGAAAGGGAAAGAGATGGGTCTTCATGTTTTCAAGTGCAGAGCAGTTCTCCACAAAAAAGATGCCCTCACCTTTGTTTTAGCCCATGCTTGCTTTTGGAGAAGTTAGCAAAGCAGGTTTTTCCTTGACCAAAACCAACCAATGAATGCATCTTTAAGTGGGACATGAGAATGGCATTAAAAAGGGTAAAAATTCATACATAGTTGGATTTTTAAAGAGAAAGCATTCACCACAACGTAAAGGAACAGATAAGTATGATTTAGGTCGATGCAGTGCATTTCTTCTGATTAAGGAAGTATAGCCTATAGCAGTTTTCTTGAAGGATTTTTCATGTTTCTTATATAAAAACACTATCAGAGTTGAAAGCTCTTAAAATTTAAGAAAAATCTGCAATATTATGCTCAATGAAACCCAGGAAAAACTATACATTTTCTATATCTTTAGCTTCATGTTATTTTTAATGTATCATTTTGCATCGATAGACTGAATCTTTTATTTAGCCAAGTGATTCTTAGGAAAATCTTGCACCAGTGAATGCATGGTGAGAAAGAAACTTTGGATATGATGACCTCTGCTGAATATTTTCTTTGAAAATTATCAGCCCTGTGAATTTGGGCAACTTGTTCAACCTAACCATACTTCCTTTCCATATATCTAGAATAGAAATAATGGGACCATTTGAATATATTTATGAAGGTTAAAAGAGTTGATATAAAATATTTGCATTGCTTTTACAGTTACCACATAATAAAAGTATTTTCAATATAAAGAAATATAAGGAAAGTATGGAAATAATTGAGTAGCAGAAATGACTACATTATGTTATTATTTGCTATTATGATATGTAATATTGTGTTCCTATGGTGTCATACTAGCACAGGATTATTATGCAGAAATTTATGTGGCATTTCTGAGAACATGTGTTTTTACTGAAAAAAAAGCTCATTGACAAGATATTAATCAGTGGGATTACAAATAACTTTTACTAACAAAGACTAATTCTAAAATGAAAAATATTTCAATTGATACTTTAAGTCAGTTTATAGAAATAATTGAAGGCCTTTGGAAAGATCCTCCCATTGTCAATATGATATTAATGCTCAGATAGTGGATATTAACAGGGCTACTACTGTTTTGTTGGTTTTCAGGTGATAACCCTCAAAGGCTTAGCAGGTTTCATCAAAATGTTCAAGAGGCTAAACTATTTCTTGAAGTACGAAAAAAGATTCTTGATTCTTCTCTATGGTTCCCCAAGGAGTTATCAGAGGAAAAGAAATGTCTCAGGAGGACTGCCGACACTGTGGAGCTGTGACTGCACCCCTGAGGGCCCCATCAAGCCAGCACTTAGCTTCTGTGAAAGCCATCTTAATAAAATTCACCCAGCGTGAAATGGAAAGTCTGGGGAAAAATGAAGAGATTTTTTTTTCAAAGTGAAACAAATGAGCTTTCTTAGTTGATCAAGGGACTAAGAAAATCCAACAGCAACAGCAAAACCATTAAGTCATGAGTGCATGTTGGTTGAAGTAGAGTTTTGTTCCTTGTCATCTGAAAAGCATTGCTCAGTAGCCTCAGGAAATGAGATAATGAAGAATCAAATTGTTATTTCATACTCAGTCAATGAGATGTTAAATTCTAAAGATTGTCCACTTCCTGGGACTTAACTCTGCCCAGTGGGGAAGTCTGAATGCTTAGAGCGGGTTTTTCTACCATTCTTCTCAAACAACTCCTGTAAGCTCTCATCTTTCATTAAGAAAAAAATGGTTAAAACATCAGCTTAAAAAGCAAACTTTAAGTAAAAGATTTTTTTTTAACATTTCACTTAACCAAACTGAAGTTTGATTTCTTAGCGTACCTGTCTTGTTTATGACATCTGTCAGTTGTGTTGAAATAAGTAGTTTAGATTTCCTTGGTTTCAAGTATGTTCAGGGCCAATGAGATAGCTCAGTGATCTAAAGTACCTGTTTAGGCAAGCTTAAGCAAGTGCGTAGGAGACTGTGCTTCAATCCCCAGCACCACAAGCAGTGCCAGCCCCGCCCTAAGAGCAGGCTGGGCCCTCACCCTTATCCCCCCACAAATTATGCTCACTGGGTGCTAGTACAGAACAGAGAATTCCTTTATCTGTCTGAATAGTTTCATGAAAGCAAGATAATATTAGAGGAGATGATGAGGAAGATGGAATAACTTATATGGCTTTGACTTGTGCTTCTAGTAGAATCCATGGCCAGGAGTGCTGGCACCATTGGAAGCTCATTCAAACAGCTGGACCAGAGCCTGCATGCTAGCAATATCCCCAGGGGATTCATGTGCACATTATGACATATGGGGTTCAAAGGAGGACAAACTGGAAGCCATATGTGTTCAACTTCTCAAAGACTGTGATATATGAAATGGAAGGTTAGAGAAGAAGAAACAGAAAAAAAGTGGTAGGAAATCCAAAGCAATAGTGCTATGGCTGGAAAGAACTAAGCTGAAGGTGCTCATTCCACCTGTATATTCTAATTCAGAGCCATCCAAATAACATACAATGACGTATTATTTTATAGAAAAAAAGAAAATATATATCATAACATCTTGGCTCCAAACTAGAGTTCTACTAATACACAAAGACAATTGCAAATATCATTTCTTTTTATGTTTGTTTGTTTTTTGCGGTACCGGGGATTGAACTCAGAACCTTGTGTTTGCCAGGCAGGCGCTTATTCTACTCAGCTATCTCCCCTCTTTTTATGTTTAACAAAACATTGGTACAAGTTTAGTTTTTAAAAATTTAACATAAAATGTTTACAAACAATTCTCAAAGGTCCCTTTCAGCTGTGCACAATAGTCTTGGGTCTCACAAAAGCTCTAAGAGGTAAGTAGGACAGGCACACTTGTGTTCACGATTTTTGTTCATATTTTCTGCATTATTTTGGGCACAGTGATATGAGACAAATTTTAGTATAGGGTTCAAAAAGTAGGGTACCAATGTATATCAATAGGCTATGGCCTGCCACATGAATGAACCACACATTTTTCAAGTAGACACTATCATGGGCCTAAGGATAACAAGAATAGAAATATATCCATAACCCATTACCTTTGAGACTTTTTCAAGTAATAGAGAAAGAAAAGCACTGTTCAAAGAATCATGTACTCACTGTGGTGTGCACCACCTGGCAGAAGTAGGGAATGCTATGAAAGCTAATGGGGGACTGACTTGGACTACTGACTACTGACTCCTCATGTGTGAAATAGTGTGATGAGATGTTCTCATGGGTTTTTTCTTTTACTTAAATTAAAAGAAGTTATATATGTGACAATAAGTATGTTTCTGGGATAAGTTCAGGCTGCTTGTTCTTAAAGACCAACACTTGGGAGAGTTGGAGAGAAGGAACCGCATTGAAGGGCTTCAAACTGGGAAGACCTGCAACTCCATCTCGGCAGTGTTTAGGGGTACAAAGAGCTATCACAGCAAGGAAAGGAGAAGGAGGTCAGGAAGGCTGCTTGCTGAGCAGGGTCTTTGATATCCAGTTGTGTCTGTTTTCTTTTATTCATCACAGTGGACCTCAGTTTTAGGGCTCCACTTGTTATTTTTATTGCAGATGGCTAAATTAGTTTTATAAATATTACAAGCACTTAGGTAGGACTGAGCCCTCAGCACAGAAGACAATCAGGGCTGGAAGCACATTCACTGAAGCCAGTCTTCAAGAAAAAGAGGATCAACTACATCTGCATAATAGGACTGGTGAGATAGTTCAACGGACTAAGTGCCTGCTTAAGCAAGCGCAGAGACTGGGCTTGATCCCCGACACCACATGTCACACTGGCCAGCCCCTAGCAAGTTAAGTCGGCCACTGAGACTGGGCATGGTGGCACTTGTCTGTAATCCTAGTGCTGGGGAGGCTGGAGACAGGAGGATCACTGTGAATCTGAGCTGTGTAGTGAGACCCTGTACCAAATTCATAAAAAACAAAAACAAATAAACAAACAAAACATCTGCCTACTTCCCTTAGGATGAACAGCAGAGAGTGATGCTCTGTATAGGCATCAATCAAAACCTCCTAGCCTGTTCCTTCCTGGAAAATCCTTGTTCATTCCATGTACACTTGATGTGTGAGTTGCTTCCCCATTTTATCCCCATTTAATCAATATTAGCCAGGCCACTATATTTATTGTAATCTACTGCTTCCTTATGGTTTTGTCCCACCTCACACTCATCTTGTGATTTCCCATTGGATCAATATTACCTAAGTGAGTATACTTACAATCTTATTAATGGACTATAGTATTGTCTCACCTTGAACCCATCTCATCTTGTGACTTTGCTTAATAAAATACCCTTGAGAGATCAGTAGGTCACTCACTTTAGGTCCCCTTCTGTCTCTGAGAAAGAAGCCTTCTTTCAATAAATTCTTCCTACTCTCAACCTCCTTGTTCCTAGAATTCATTTCTGGATTTCAGAGAACACAAAGTGTTTCAGGCATCTAGCAGGTTGGGAGCTGTTTGGAGGTCCATATGTCATCCCTGTATCATATGTCTTCTATCATTTTTAGATAACATATTCATAGAACTAAAGGTTCAGAGGGGCACAACAGAGTTTACCATATGTTGTGAATTCTGTGTATAAAAGATTGGGCAGTTAACTATATTAACTTTTAGGTGGGGATTCTCTTTAGAATTTAGAATGCCAGGCAAAAGGAAGGGACAAAAACTTTTTGGAAGGACAAAAGGAGGAAAAAGTGAAGGAGAAGTCCACTGTGAAGGGAGGAAATGACCAACTTAGCAGGCCTTGTTCACCCAAACCCTGCACATTCCACAGAAAAGCCTACTTTCAGAATAGCTTTTGATTGGCTTCTGGAGTATAGCATCTGAACTTTTGGAATAGTCTACGTATTTCTGTAGGTCTGAGGTCTTTAGGGCTATCTCTAAGAGTTGGGCTGCAAAGATTGATTTCAACAGGGTGACTTAGGGTGGTTGCCTCTTTCTATGCTGATAGAGGATGAGCTGTGT